TGAGGCGGTCATGTTCCGGTCCACTCCAGCGTTACACTTACAATTACAACTCACGTTGTCCTCCTCCTCTGCCACTATTTGAAATCTCACTTATTTGCTCTATTTTAAGTTTTGACAAAGTGATGGACTTTCAAGGACAAAACAGAAAAAGCCGGCCCGGCCCGGCCCAGCCCAGCCCAGCCCAGCCCACACAATAAATGGAATAAAACAAAAGGAAGGACCCCATCCCCACTCTCCGCTTAAAAACAAAATAAAAAAACACAGGCATTGGTATGATAATCAATGATGGCAACCCACGTGAGCAGGATGACCTCAAAACCGTCCTCTTGTGTACGCTAAAAGGACACCCTTTCTTTTCTTTTTGGAAGAATTGTAAAAAAAAAAAAAGAAAAAAGTAAATAGGGGGATGGAAGTCATGGATAACACACACGCATTGGGTTTGCATTATATGTTGGGAAGGGAAAGGCAGCGGTTCACAGCCTGGACTGACATGATTGCACTAACCCACCCACCCTTCCTGCCCGGATTCTACTCAATTCTTTTTTCTTTTCTTTTCTTTTCTTTTTTTTTTTCCGGGAAATAAATGCTATACAGCCTGGCATTACTTCCATTATCCTTCTCTCTATCTTCCAATTTATTAATAATCTCTAAACCCTACACAAAAAAACAAAACACGAGGCTAAATAGTTGTTTGGATTAGGCCCACACACAGCGCCACAGCCGTCCGATCCCCTTTTTTTCTTTATTCTCGTAGATTAAACATAAATAAATTCACTCCAAGTCGGTTTTCAAAGGCAGCCCAAAGCCCTCGCTATATATTCTACGTGTATCTTCTTGCCACCGTTGCATGACGCGTGTCCCTCTCCCTTCCAAACTACAAACGGCTATCACCGGTCACCACTTCCTCCCCCAACCAGTCACTCCCACTATCTTATAAATTCTCTCTTCTCTCCTTCCTTCCCCCTTCTCTCTTACACATCATCCACCTCCCCCTACCTTTCCCTTTATGGCTACCGCCGGTGCTTCTAAGCCCGTCGACCGGATAAAAGGTCCTTGGAGTCCCGAAGAGGACGAGTTGTTGCGCCGCCTCGTCCACAGCTACGGCGCCAGGAATTGGTCTCTTATAAGTAAGTCCATCCCTGGGAGATCTGGCAAGTCTTGCCGACTCAGGTGGTGCAACCAGCTTTCGCCTGAGGTGGAGCATCACCCTTTCACTCCCTATGAAGATGACACCATTATCCAGGCTCACTCCAGATTCGGCAACAAGTGGGCCGCCATTGCCCGTCTTCTCAATGGTCGCACCGATAACGCCATCAAGAATCACTGGAACTCTACTCTCAAGCGCAAATACTCCTCCTCCATTGCCGATGATTTCAAACACCACCCTCCCAAGAGATCCGCCAGTGTGGGTGCTGCTCCCACCACCGTCGCTTCGCCTTTCTATTTCAACCACAGTAGCCCATCCGACTCCGACTTGAGCGACTCTAGCCTACTTGGAATGTCTTCTTCGCAGGTCTGCAAATCTGTCTCGCCCGATGCTTTGATTTCTCGGTCAGATCAGCCGCCGATGGAGACCTCCACCGATCCTCTCACCTCTCTCACCCTCTGTCCGCCTGGATCCGACTCCTCGGAGGTTCCAAAACTCGCGTCCGAACCCGATCAGGCACCTCAGCAGCCAGTGCAGAGTGCGGACAAGCTGAGAATTGAGAGCAAGTTCTTCAGTTCAGAATTCTTGGCTGTGATGCAGGAAATGATTAGGAAAGAAGTACACAACTACATGTCTGGGATGGAGCAAAAAGGTCTGTGTTTGCAAACGGAGGCCATCAGAAACGCAATCGTAAAACGGATTGTCATAAACAAGCGCGATTAATAGCAGCCCTGAGATGACAAAGAAGTCATCGCGTCACTCAAAAAGTTCTCCTTTATGTGTTTATTTTCTTCTTTTCTCCTTCCCCCTCCCCTGAATTTATAGATGACAATAAATTTTGGTAGTGTACAGAATGAAGAACACCAAATTTGGGGGGCTGAACAAGGCAGAGAACTTCAAATACATATATCATATATGATAGAATTAGATCATCTGTTCCCAAAAGGGCTATCTATTAGAAAGTTTGGGCAAATTCCTGTTCGACTAAATCGAGTCGATGTAAGAATAATGACCAAAAGAACAAAAAACGAGTTTAGTCATTGGAAATTTTAGAACTTGCATCTTTTGATACACCAGTGTGTACCAGGATGATGAAAATCCAAGAAAAGACACTAATTGTGGTGGTCAAGAATGGATAAATAAACAGGGTTCAAAGAACAGAACAGAACAGAACAGAACAAAACATTAATGGTTGAGCAACCAGTTGGAAGTCGGAACTGCAAATTCCAAATTGATAACATGTGGAGGACAGTTTTGAGATCAAATGAAGACATGAGCAATTATGTCGGTTTCTGTACTGTACATACTAAATTTTTAAAGCAAAAGGGAGCTGTACGAACTCGAAGATTAGAGATAAATTCAAACAAACGGACCTGAGAAAACGATCAAAACTGCTGGAATTTAATCAGCAGATAGGGATTGAGACGACACAGCGTTTTGCATAAACTCAATAGCTAAATTGAGTGTGTTTTAGTCATCGGTATTGTTGGCGCTTGTTTCCATATTCTGAGGCACATGGTACGATGACAAGAAAAATGCAGACTGATTGTTCCTGAGAAACTTGCAACGAACACATCAAAAACAGGGTTGTGTGTCGTTGAAATTTTCAACACGGAAACTCATGAAATAATGTCTCAAAAGAAGAATTAAGAGGAATAGATATTCGAGTAAGTCAACCAACTTCTGTTGCAGTTCCATTTAACTCTCCTCTTCGATATTGGCTTGAGACAACAACTCAGGCAACCTAACCGCAATTATGAAAACGCGGTATACAATGTTCAAAAGGCTGTACCCTACTTTTAACTTCACCATTGACCACAAATATCATGTAATGAATGCAAATAAGAACAATGACATCATGGTGCCGTGCTATTCATTAAACCAATAAGATGACCGTCCATTTGACCACGGGTTGAGACAGACAAGTGTCGTGATGCGACTAAAAGGAACGGTGCATCATCCAGCATACTAAGAAGAGTGTGCATTCAAATCAAGCTAAGACATAAGCAATGTTGGAGAGAGGGGTGACACGAGTGTCGAAGACAAGCTCAAAGAGGCCTGGGTAGGGCCTCAAGCCATAACCTCAGAAGTTAGAGTTTCGATATGTGTTTCGACAAGCAGTTCTGGAGTTAAGTATGTCCGCCCGCCAGAATCATGTCTACTCCAAAAAAATATTAGAAATGCCTCAAAATGTACGGTAGGAGGAGGGGTCTACAACACCCTTGCGTCATGTGGCCTAAGTGAGCTACCCATAGCACATACATGTGTGACGTGTGGGCGAACATCTTGCACAAGCTCCTTTAAAACGAGTCTTTCAAAGATAGTGTCAGACGACACGAGTGTGCCAACATTGTGTCCCAGTCATGTGTCAAAAAGTTGATATATGCACCGGTTATTCGGTACAGAGTTTGTAAATGACATGGCAAGGACACTGGAGGGTTCATATTCTGATGAGATGAGCGACACATGGGTTGGTTTAGATAGACATGTCCGAGAAAGCCAAGATGGTTAGGATGTACGACCATGACACTCGACACTCAGGACCATATATGGAAGAAGGGGAGACATAACTGATGACCAATCCCTCCATTTGTTGATACTCACTGTGGTATAGAAGCATCAAATCAGACCCTTCACTATTCCTCCAACCAATTCGTCTTCCCTGTCCTCATAGAGCAATGTTAAAGAAGATGAAGAACATGGTGCAACAACAAAACGTTCCATCCTTCTTCAGCCTGTATTCAAGATATTTCTTCATTATATCTTCAGCATTAAGGAAGGAAACGGGGGTTGTTTACTGCTAACAATCATAGGATAAAAGACTCTAGTGGCTGGAAGTTTGTGGACCATTGTAAAACACTTTCTGACCTATCCCTTTCTATCAGAACAGCCAGTGATCTTATTACCAGCTTCTGGAATGATTCATGGACGATCTAAAGGCCATCAAGATTTTTCAAGTTCTAAAGATTTAACATCAACAATTATGCACAATCGTTTGCTCATCTGCATTCACGTTGATCTCTACTGAATATATAAAACGCCTGAGATTCGAGTCATCCTCCTATCTACTTGAAATAGAACCAACAAACCAAAAGCCACAAGTATATTTGGCAAGAAAACACATAAAGAACGAGGAACAACGAAATGAACTGTATAAGAAGGGATGAAAGAAAACCTATGAAACGCGAGGACCTTCTGTGCTGCATGTTCATCATCGTCGTCGTCTTGGGAATGACTATTGGATGAGGCATCGGGCAGAAAAGGAGAAACCCCAATTCCGTGGGCTTCCCTCCCATTGGCCTCCGGTAAGATGGGCCTGACATTCAAGAGCCCAATCATGTCCACTCAATCCCCAATGCTGCATCACTTCCTCAAATTCTCTATCCAAACAGAACTTCATATCTCTATATTTTTCTTATTCCTTTAACTCTTCCTTCTTTTTTTTTCCTTTTTGTCTTAAGATTCGAAAGAAAAAACATAATCTCAGCTTTTGAGATTTTGTTTCATGAACTGTCAAATCTGGAGATCATGAAAACAGTCTTTGGAATCACTCTTCCATTAGTGGCATTTGCATAAATTTAATTAAAAATGGTACCTTTTTAGATTACTGATTTGGCACTTCCTTTCTTTCATTCATTTTGAAACAAGTATGAGAACTGAACCCACCTTGTGGCTGGTTCTGGGTCTGCGTTTGGCTTTTTGTGAGAGGCTGAGTATTGTATAGTTTCCAAAACCCAACTCGTCTCTTTGTCTTGTGCTATTTGTCTGCGAGCGAATGGGGCATTTTCTTCCATCCTTCTTATCTTCTCTTTCTTTCACCTATTCCATTCCATTTCCATTTATTGGCCATCAATTTCAACACAAAACCCACTTAATCTTTTGCTTCTCCATTCATATATATATATATGATAACTATATAATCAGATACACAAGTTAGGAATTTATGAAGTACACACCCGACCCGGATACAGATCTAATTAACCCAGGAAGGACAATAAGAAAAGATAAAGAAAAACCCAGATCAAATCCAAAACACATTGAAAGGGAAACTTCAATCATCGCCTAATCTCGAGGAAAATGGTTAAATGGAGTGAATTTTCCAGGCCAGACCATTCATTCGTCTCTGTTGCTGAAATTCATCTTCTCGTAGTACCGAATCGAGAGAAGTGAGAGCGAGAGATGGACCTCATCCTTCCCCCAACGGGTCGGTGGCTTCGACCCAATCATCGCCGGAAACGTAGACCAAGGCGACGACGACGATGAGGAGGAAGCTGAGGCAGATGTGGAGGGGGCTTGGGGCTTGGTAAGAGGCCAGATGAAGAGCGAGTGGAGGCGACGGAAGCCACCGAGGGCTAGAACTACAGATCGGAGTTGTTGGTTGCCGCAGCCGGTGTTGGCCCAGTGTCTGGTACAGATCAGCTCCCAAAGCCGCTCATCTTCCGCCGTTTTGTGCCATTGCTTGCTGACACACGCCGCCATAGCCAGAGTCGTCGCATCCACATGCTTAAAAACCTCAAACAGCAAATTATCATCCAAATTGACAAACCCAGTTCTGTCGGAGGCGCCTCCTCCTCCTCCTCCTCCTCCCCCTTCACAATCCACAGAGTCCACCCTGAGTTTTTTCCCCATCTTCCGCTCCCCATCGCCATCGGGAACTAGTCGCTTCATCTCCAAATATCACAGAAATCGGAAAAATCAGATTTCTTATCTGTAATCAAAAGAAATCGTGAAATTGAAACACACTAGAACAGAGATTTGGGAAAAAGCATTGTGGGTCAGCCTTAAATCTGAGCAGAAAAGCTAATAGAACGATGGAAATGGAAGGAAAAACAGGGAGGGATTGGAATTGAAGATTAAAAAGAAAAAAGGAGAGAGAAGAGGAAATAAGGATAGTTGGGGGTGAAGAGTGGTTAAGGCCCTATTAAAGCATAAGTTTTGAAGGTTTACGAAGACGACAAGATGAGAATTGAATGCCTTTTTCTCCATATTCACCAACTGTGTCGTCGCCCTGTGTCACAATTTTCATTTCCCCCTCTTTGTTTTCACGGACAGTTAACGCCCCAACCCGCTCTACCGCTTCTTCCTCCTCCCACATTTCTATGCCCCCTCTTTGGACCCAATTATAAACAATCTTAACTAAACTGATTATGGACTAATGCTCATATATGGCAACCATAACATCCTCTTGCGACATGGACACCTCGGCTCGATTGAGCCAATAGAGAACAAACTTAGTGCGTTTTTGGTTGCCTTCACACTTTTCAGTTTCGGGTCGGACAAAGTTCAATAAAGCCTTCACACCTCGACTCATTTATGCAAAAAGGTGGTTGAGAGAGATTTAAGTTGAAGAGTAAGTAAATGTGATTTAGCTAATTAGTTTGGTGAATACATATAGACCTTTGAACAACCCTCCAAGTGGCTATTTATACGCCTAAAGCTCCTCCTCGCTCTTAATGCGACTAATTCATTTATCATTTCTACTTTATCTATTTTTATTTTGGTGCCACCCAATTTCAATTAAACAACATTGTCTTGATATTAATATTTAAAAGTTTGTAATGAACATTTAAATTAAATTAAAGAGATGAAATGAAAAAATGAAATAAAATGAAAGGTGAAACTGATGAGAAAACAAAGTAAAAAGAATTGGATGGGTTTAACGGTTTACTTGGATTTGACTTTGCAAGAAAACTACAAGAGGGTTTGGTTAGTTGGTTGGTTGGTTGGTTGGTTGGTTGGTCATTTAAAAAGAAAAAAAAAACAAAATTCAACAAAATTCAACAAAAATGAAATGAAATTAAAAACAAAAAAGAAAAAATGTTAAAAAGAGAAAGAAAATCAAAGGAAAAGTTGTGTTGGGGGTTGGGGGTTGGGGGTAGGGTAAGTTTAGCATTGCTCTATAATACAGTTTTTTTTTTTTTTTTTTTTTTTTTTTTTTTTTT